TGCAATTTCGGTTGCGATGGAGGTCATCACTCGTCATCAGCTTGCCCATCGAGTTCGAGTACGCGGACGCGCCACGGATCCTTCTCCTATGCTGCTGGTCATCCTTACTGACTTGGAGAAGGCCTTCGACATCATCGCACGGCAGTCCATCTGGGACAGCCTGGAGTCTCTCCAACTACGGCCTGATGCACGTGAGACGCTGGAGGAGCTCCATGACGGCATGTGCTACCTCTATCGTGATGTGCGCACTCGCCTACCCTGCTCGTGTTCAGCGCGGCGTCCGCCAGGGAGGAGTGGAAAGCCCTGGTCTTTTTGTCGCTGCTTATGACAAGCTAGTTGCCGAAGTGGCAGAACGTCAGCGCCAGAATGAGTTTCCTGGGATCTTCGTTTACTTTGACCCCAGCCTCAAGAAGATCCGCACCTCGGACCCGCTGCCGAATGACTCCTGCGAGTGCCTGGACGTTACCCACCTCAAGTTCTTAGACGACCTGCTGACGTTTGGAGAGGTGAACCACTTTGACGAGGCGTCCCAGCTGCTTGACTTAGTGAACGGCGAGATTTCCTTCGGTGGCATGAAGGTCAACGCGAACAAGACTGAGCTTCTCCTCATCCCCAGCGGCACGGGCAGCAAGAGACGCCAGAAGTCCATCAACTCACACTCCACGGGCATCGTGACCGGGCAGGATGACGAGGCCCTCGCCGTGCACCCGCAGCCGACGGTCAAGTACTTAGGCGTTCGCATGGCCGCATCAGGCAGCTACCAGACTGAGATTACCCACCGGCTCCAGAGCGCCAACCAAGCTCATTCTCGACTCCTCCGACGTGCTTTCAAGGGGGGGTTCAGCCCGAAGATGAAGATACGCTTGTGGAAGGCGTTGGTTCGTTCAGTTGGCCTGTATGCGTTGGAAGTCGCTGTGATGTCCAAGCGCGAGCTCCTCCGCTTGGAATCCTGGCAAGTTCGGAAACTCCGAGGGCTTCTCCACTCCCCTGCCCACATCAACGAGCTCACCAACCGCGAGATCAGGGGGAAGGCCCGCGTCCCGACAGTGGAGAGCACACTACAGCATCGACGACTTAAATGGTGGCGACAGGTCCTTTGGCCAGTCTTTCGTGGGCCCACACTTGACCTCTATGACGCCGCGCTGGCGGTCCGCGCCGTCATCTTCGGCCGCTTTTCCTTCGAGCCTCCAGGCCCGCGAGAGCCCCGCGGCCTCCTTGCCTTGCTGAAGGCCGACGCGCGCCAGCTCTGGAACTCTGTGGAGGCGCACGAGCAGCTGGAGGCCCGCCGCCTCTTCCTTCTTCATGGTGACCTACCTGACCTTGCTGAGCCGTGGCTTCGCTGGCTTGCCTCCTTTGAGCAGCGCTGCTTTCGCCGTGTTCTCACCTTTGGCGAGGTCGCAGCAGGCGAACCCGTTGCTGTTGTCTGGTTTCAGTGCGATGTGTGTGGACAAAATTGCAATGGAGAGAAGGGCCTCGCCAATCATAAACATGCAGCTCACAACATCTATGCGAATCCCACGGCCAACTTCCTTTCGGATGTTGATCTTCAACAGAAGCGTTGCCCTCACTGTGCGAAAGATTTCACTCGCAAGGACACGTTGGTCCGCCATGTCAAGCTTGGCCGTTGCTCCGTCCTCGCTGGCGTTCAGGCTCAAGCAGATTCTCGACTTGAGCTTGCGGCATCACCTCCAGTTCCTGCCAGTCATGTTCCAGCCGATTGCGGAGGTGCAGGTGGCAGCCAGCCAGAAGCGCGCGGCGGCCCCGAACTCGGAGGACAAGGGCGAGGGCAACGACATCGTGGGCCCGCTGGCCAAGGCACTCGCCAGACTCGCCCTCCAGCACGATGACCTCGCACGAGCGGGTCACCGAGACGACAACTTCGCGATGGTGCTCAAGCCGCAGTGCGCTCTGGCGAACGCGCTGGAGCAGGCCATCACGACGTACGAGGACGAGGGGCGCAAGGCCAAGGAAAAGGCGAGCGAGCAGGGCAGCCCGTTCTTGGGCAACCCGCTGGGCAAGCGGCCCGACGCGCTGGCCCGCGCCGTGGTCTTTCGCATCATGGAGGCGGTGCCCCTCAAGAGGCAGCAGGTGACGGAGGCGGTGTCGCGGGGGGCCGAACCCGAGGCAGCGCTGGCAGCGCTGGAGGTGCTGTTGCAGATGGGCAAGCTGGCGCAGAACACCGAGGCGAAGTTCGTGGCCGCACGCTGCTTTCGGATCCAGGCCAGCCGCAACGAGGGTGACAGCAACGAGGAGGGCGAGACCAGGTGGATCTTCGCGGTGAATCACTACCCAGGGTTCAAGGCAGCGCTCAACACGCTGCGGTCCAACGGAGCCTTGGCCGCCGCGGGCATCGTTCTCCAGTTCGACATAGCGACGAGGTCCAAGGCAGCCAAACTGGTAGAGAACTTGGCGTTCCGCTCGGGCAGCGGCTCCGCCAGCAGCGGCAAGAAGAAGCAGAAGCGCAAGTGAGAGCAGGAGCAGCCAGGCCAGTCGAGGCTCGGGAATCCTGCCTAGCTCTCCTCCCTCGTCCTCCGACGACGTTGACGCCTCCGACGACGGCGACGCCTCGTCCCCTCTCCCGCCCTCCGCTTGGTCAGAGAACTCTCACGAGCTTTTTCAGGTTGCAGCCCAGGGATCCCGCTCAGTAAACTTCTTTCGAGCCTGGATGCCTGTGGCCAGTTTTGGGGCCTCGCTTGCGTGGGGGTTGCGCCTCTCTCCACCAGGAGGAGGGGGGGGCCGCCTTCACTGTGCCTTCCCTGCAGAGGCAGGGGGGCGTGAGGCGCGGGGCAACGGCCCAGCGGCCACCGCCCACGCGTTTCCGTCGGTTTTGTGTCTCAGGGCTCCTCCGATTCGATCGGTAGCGCCGCGTTTCCTGCGGTAGTTCTCTTTCAGATTGCCCTCGCAAAACTTCCTTGGGAATGGGAGTAGCGTTGAAAAAAGGAATCTCGTCTGAAACCCGCGGAAGGAAATTGATGTTGTAAGAGGTCTACGTTGGCCACCGTGCCGTCTTCAGGCATGCGGAGCCAGCTGCATAAATGTCGCACGGTGTGCACAAAACGATCCATCGCCCCCTGGAGGTCTCCACACCTTCCCCGGAACAAACTTTCTGGGGCTCCAATTGAACCCCCACACACCCCAGGACAGCCCCGACTCAGCCACGATAGGGCCCAAGAGAAGTTCCGGCCGACGCCGCGCAACACCCGAACAACGAGCGTTTAGAGAAGCCCCAGAGTGGCACAAGATGGATCAACGATCGCACGAGCCGACATCCCACTGGTCGCTCCAAATTTTTGATGTGCAGAGCGTTGCGTTGCATGGCATTTGTGCTTCATTTATCCTTGCAGTAGTTTGCGTTGAGTTGCAATACGTTGCGTAGCCACTGCATGACATTTCCACGATCATGTCATATGGATTCGCATTGCATGCGTCTGTGTGTATATCTGTCAGAATTCCGTCTCTGTTCGGTCCGCGCGATTGCTACCTCTTCACTTCATGTGCGAGCAATTTGTGTGTTACGTGCACGCGTGCATCTGTGAGCTTGTCAAGGTCTGGGGGGGTGCTAGAGCCTAAGCGCGCGCGAAGCGCGCGAATGGTTCTAGTATGTATATGCATATACATGTGTATGTGCATTCGTTTGATTACGTTTATGATGACGATTACGTATGTGTGTGATTGTTTTGAATCCGTGTGTAGTTATATGTATATATATTCATTTGTATATGCATATGTAGCGGCGTTTTTGAATTCCGATGTATGCTTAAACGTATATGTATATATATATATATATAGGTGTATGTATATGTGCACATATCTATATAGTTACAAGTATACGCATACGTATATTCACATGCACATCGTTTATATATATATATGGATTTGTATTTGCATCTGCACATGTAAGTGTATTCGTATATGTATGTGTATTTGTATATGTACATGTATGTGTCTATGTATATGCATATGTATGCGTGTATGTACGTGTGTCAGTAGATGTGTGAATGCATGTGTGCATACGTGTACATGCAGCTATGCATACGTATATAAACGTTGGTATGTGTGTGTGTGTGTGTCTAGATATTTGTATGTGTAAATGTATTTGCATAGGCATGTGTACATTCGGAAGACTATGCATATGCATGTGTATTTGTATATCTATGTGTGTGTTATGTACATTCATATGTGTATGTGCATGTATGTGCATATGTCTATGTCTATGTATGCGCATGTGTACATTTACATGTGCAGGTACTTGTATATGTGTGTATATATAATACACATGTGTGTATGTCATGAGTGGATGCGTCTCTCTCTGTACATATATATATACATATATATATTCATATATGTATATAGACAGGTCTACGTACATGTATGTATGGTTGTGGGTGTGTATCTGTAGATGTACCTACCTTTGCGTGATGCAAGGTGTGCGTAGCAAACAGCCATGCGGTGCGAGCTATGTGGTGCACCCAGCGTCGCACGGGGCGCCCGCGAGGCGCCCGCGGGCGGCCACGAGCGGGCACCGTGCGAAGCCCTGGCGGACCCAGCCAGCGCAGGGGGCAGCCACGAGGCGCTCACTGGTGGCCGCCAGCCGGGCACCGGACGAAATCACGTGAGACGGCAAGTCGGGATTCGGGTGTTGCTAGAAGTGCCCCTGGCCCAAGTTGCCCCTAGCTTTCCGCTCCATTTTGGAGCCCCTGGGGCCCTCTGGGCCTCGTGAGGGGTGCCTTGGAGGCCGTCTGGGCCACCCCGAGAATCCTAGGGGTACCTTGGGCCAGGGGTACTTCTAGCAACACCCGAGGGATGCACATCGGCAGGCAGATTGACCTGCAGAGGGAAGTGCAGAAGCTCGGCACGCAAGCTGATGTGCAATCCGACTGCCATCGGAAAGTCGAAGCGCACGTCGAAGCGCGAGCCGACCTGCCGCCCGAAAGCCACATCCAGTCGCAACCCGCCCGAGCGGCGACGTGCACATCGAGGTGCAAGCTCTGCCTCCCGAGGCCCTGCCGTCGGCGCAGCCCAGCCTGCCCGCCGGGCCCCCGGCGGCGGCCGGGCACAAGCGTATCACGAGGGACGGCGTGTCCGACCTTCTGGACGACCTGAAGGCGGCCTACGCCGACCCGGGCCTGCGGAGGCATCGCCATTGGCATCAAGCAGTGGCGAATCGTCCTAGCTCGCCTGTAGGTGTTCTGACAACCTTTTGTGGTTTGCATGACATGCTCTTAGAACAGTTCTGCCTGAGACTGTCGTGTTTTAACACGTAGGTATTAAGTTCTAAGCACATGGTTGTTATTCTTAGAACATTTTTGCGTTCTACGGAAATTTCGTGGTAGGCCTGTAGGAATGCTGGGACGGTGGGTCCCTGCTCAAATTGGGGGGAACGGGTCCTGAGGGAAATGTGTCCTGTTTTTTCGCCGTTTTCGGGTTCTCGGGCCCCTCCACGGGCCCCAGAACTGTCAGGAAGCGGCTCGGGAGGAAGATCTCGTCCTGGGGGAAGGCACTTGGTCCAGGACGCGTTTCTCTCAGGACGCGCTTCCCCCATGCCGAAGGCAGATAGACAAGCTGATCAGGGACGTCCGCTTCGACGCGGGGTCGTTCATGCAGCACATCGGCGCAGTGGTGCTGCCAGTGCAGGAGCCCGTCCTGCGGAAGTGGGGCTTCGACGCGTCCAGGCACGGGGTGGCCGAGATGCGCGCGGCCATCCAGGACCACACCCGAGGTCCGCTCGAGGCATCTGTGGACCACCACTCCTGGCCAGGGCCATCCTGGACCCTTGGGCCCTGGGATTGTGTACAGACTCGGCCAGGAGGGCGTTTTCGCCATGCCATGGCCCAGGCCTGGCATTGGCCAGGCCTCGGTGGTGGTGTATGTATGGGTGACCTCCGCGTGCGAGGTGCCCGCGCGGACCTGGAGCTCAAGGGGCGGGCCGACGAGGTCAACAGCGCGCTCTTCGGGAGCCCTGAGCTCTGCATGCGCGAGCGCGTGATGGGCACGGGGCCGGCCCCTGCTTAGGTAAGAGTTGGCTCTGGCGCCAAGAGGTGCGAGCGGGGCGCGAAAGCGTCCAGGAAAAGGCCCGCTCTCGGCTTGCAGAGACCCGAAAAAGGGCCGAGAACCTCCCAGAGCCTGGATCCTGGAACCTCGAGGAGGAGGAGGAGGATGAGGAGGAGGAGGAGGAGGAAGAGGAGGAGGGGAAGGAGGAGGAGGAGGAGGAGGAGGAGGAGGAGGAGGAGGAGGAGGGGGAGAAGGGGGAGGAGGAGGAGGAGGAGGAGGAGGAGGAGGAGGATAATGATAATGATAATGATAATGTCAGTTCACTAAGTGAAACATCGGCTTTACCCAAGGGGGAGGGGATCGGAGGGGGCCTCGGGTGGGACCGTCCTCTTCGCGTTGCCCATGGCCTTCGGCCACTGACCTCGCTCGATCCGCTTCAAATGCTCCGCCGCCGTGGGGGTAGCCTTTAAACCACAACCTTTACGGAGCTTAAGGTTCTGCTGGCTTGCGCAAGCGCCACAAATCGCACAAAACCAGAGACCCAATTTCGCACTAAGTTTCATACAGTGCGTTTCGATCACTCCAGGAGGAACGGTGAAAAACTCCTCGTTTACATTCTGGGGCACAAAACACGGGGTCCTTTTCCAGGTCTCGAGGGTGCCGCAAGAAGCAGGCCCCAAACATCGTTTGCACCTCTTCTCACTGTCGTCCAAAAGATGGAACGACCCCAAAACCGAAACAATTCGGGGTGGGGTGGCTGGACAGGCACAGGCTGAGGGGGAGGAGAAGTAGAGGGGAGCTCACTCTCCAGCTGCCTCCGCTCTGCGAAGCGTCCTCGGCGCCTCTAGCGGCGGCCTCGCGCGCCTCCGCCTCCATGGATTGCATGGCCGCGTACAGCATGCGGTGACGCACCAGGAAGGCCTGGTGCTCGGTCTGCACCAGCTGGTGTCGGACAGCGGCTGGCATGCGGAGTTGTTCCGCCTTGAATCCAACCAATTCGTCGATGATGATATTGCCAACCACCTTCCACCCCGGAATTCGACCTTCCACGATGGCCTCGGCACCCAAATGACAGTGCATGAAGTCCACCGTGATATCATCTGCTTCACCACGCGATTGAATCAGCACAGCGATAGCAGCCCACAAGTCAGCATCAGGACCGACAGGCTGGAGATGGCGCTGGACAAGCCATCCCTTGTAGACTGAGTCACAATCCGTGACGTAGTGCAGCGGACCAGGACACGAGTGGATGGCAAGCACGAATGCTCTGAGTTCGCCCCTGGGAACTGACTGACGACACCCACTGAGACCACCTGTGATATAAGCACGGGTGACTGGAGGATCGCATGATGCCATCGTCACAATGCCCAGCGCCGTCCGTCGTAAACGCGGGTCAGCGGTGTCGGTACCTCCACTGGCATCGCCGAAGACATTGGTGACATCCGTTGAAGTGCCCAGGCAACCCAATGCAGCAGACTGGATCCCGTAGCACTCCCAGTCGTCCTCGAGAATGGGATCTGGGGTCGCCGTCCACGTGCTGGGGATCAAGCCTCTGAGCCAGAAGCAACCGAACATCTCGTGCTGGGCAAGGGCTGCTGGCAGTAGATGACCCCTGGCTTCGAAGATTGTCGACCCAACGTTGCACCGACATTTCCCGATCATGTGAAGTGAATCCTCCTCGCACTCCTGACAGCGTGGACATAGGCGTTCAGGCCGAACGGCAGGACTGCTTGAACGATGTCGGTTCGCGGGGTCCGTGATACTGTTTGACCTCTGATCAGCCGCGAGGCCCGTACGCTGCCTTGGCCGCGCCTCCAACAGCAATCAGTAGTAACATGCAACATGCCAGCTAAACGATTACCTCCAGCCTTGACTCCACGAGGTTGAGTAAGGAGCCGACGCAAGGAGAGGTTGTCCGCCCCATGTTGCAAGCCTGACCCGTCGTAATGTCCGGCGGCGGCTTCCCAATGGGGCGACATAGCTGCATGTTCGACATCTTTAAGCAGTTCGTCGAAGGTATCACGATACTTGTTGCCAGAAAACACACCATCGGGAAAAGGACCAATTGTGATCGGACACTGGTAGTACCCGATCGTCAGCTCCCCGTGGTTCCCAGCCAAACGCGAGTAGGTAGGTGACGATCGCGGACAAAGGACCTCGAATCTGACGTGGTTTCCGTGATGCCCCCATAGCTTAAAGTTTGGTAACATCTTTCGGACACGCTGGCCGCGCAGCCGGCCTGATGTTGGTATGATCCCGCCCCTGCTGAAGCCCCAACGCGAAAGCATCATGAGCCATGCGTAAGCTGGATCTTACCTGGGGTCACGATGTCCAGAAGGGTGGTAAGACAGCGCCCCTTGGTCCGTACCATACAGGCCGCACCCAACTTGCGCCGATGCGACACCAGCTATTGGCCGAGATATCCGTGTAGCTGAAACCCGTAGCTGCCAACCGCTTGACCTCCCTGGGTCTCCAGACGCGCGGTGATCGTGGTTTTGCGTAGGGTACAAGTGAAACATCGCAGTTTCCCATGACGATCCGTGTGCTTGGCGACCCTCTTCAATTTCTGAACGCGGACATGGCGCCTACCTCCACCCATGTCGATGCCCAAATACGTGTTGGAGCGCGCCACAGTCAGGTGGATGCCCTTCCGCTTGAGCGTCTTGACGATGCTGGCGGCCAGAGGGTAGTGACTTCTGGTGACCGCAGACTTGCTAGCGATGCGGAGATCTTGGGAACCAGGCGCCTGCACCGTGTCAGCTAAGCAATGCACCATCGATGTCTGAAGGCTCTGGCGAGATCCGCGCATATGTTGTGATAAGTTGTCCAACCAAAACCTGTGAGACTGCCAGGGGTGGGCAATCCATGTGCTGCATCACATAGTACGTCATGATACGTGCATATCGGGTCCCGCCTCGCAAGCCCCGCGCGATAGACCTGGTGGCCGCTATCGGATCCGAGAACGACCCCATCTAATTGAGCGTCCTGGGACACGCGCGTTGAAGAATCTCATGATCGAGAACCGTCGGTGGGAATTCCAGACGGATAGCTGCCCGTGCCAGTTTGGGCCAACACATAGCGTCGTAATACTGTTCGAGATCTATCAGGCTGTAGACGAAAGGAATCTCGAGAACCGCAGAAGCCAGTCCCCTTGCCGAACAAACGCCGAAAAGCCTCCTGGAGGGACGGGTTCCCGATGACCGCAGCGTCCCAAGACGGCTCCGAGACGGCGGTCCATCGCTGAACCCAAGGCTCGCGAGTCTTGTTCCAAACACGGCCCAGCATTGCAATGAGGCCGATGATGCGGTCCCCCGAGGGCTTTTTTGGGAGGAGCTCCCCAAAGACTACGAGGACCTGGGCGGGCCAAACCAAGAGGACCTCGACGCCGTTGAGGAGGTCAGCGAGACTTTGAAGGCCTGCATCTGGGAGCCGTTCGAGATCCCCCGGGGTGATGTGATCCACGCCGAGCGCCGTGCGACTCTTCATGCCCCGAAGTGCAACCCGTAGATCGTGCGCGGTGAAGAGGATCCGGATTGAGACGAACTGTATCTCGTGCGAGCCCAAGAACAGCCCCAAGTGCGGCATCGGGGTCGTGCTGTTCTGGGCCCCGTAAGGCCTTCCACTTGCTGGCCTTGCTGTCTATGATGTCCCTGGGGTGGTAAAGAACCTTGCCGCTGGATCCCGCCAGCTCCAGTGGGGGTGGAGGATCCTGACGCGTGGCTCGATGAAGTGTGCCGAGAGCCTTCGTGGTGGAGGCCCAGTCCCGAAACTCACGGAGAGAGGCAGCCGTGGCGCGCATCTGACTGCGCCGTGCCAAGCGACGGGAAGACTCCGCCAAAGCGACGAGGGTAGGTGTGGGAAGAGCGCGCGCATCCAGAAGAGCTGACGTCCATTCAGACCACCGTCTCTCGGGCCCTTCGCGGATGACCGCGCGGGCCTGATCGGGCCGATCCTCGACCAGACTGAGACGGGCATTTCCCAGGTGACGCTGCTGTGCTACACCATTCTTCCTCGTGCGGTGCTGGGCCAAACTCGACGGGGCTGCGCGCGCCCTATGCCGCCAATTCGCCGCTGCATCCCTGAGTGGAGCCTCTCTTAACTTCTGACTCGCATGTACTTCGCGACATGCAAACTGCGGTGTTTCGGCCTGGGAACGACCTGGGGGGCGCTGTGCCTCGTGATGAGCCAAGACGGTGCCTCAAGAGTCCAAACCCAAGCAGCGTGGAGCCCACTGGCGGTGTTGCAACCCACGGGGTCGACAGGGTAGACGGCCGAGTCCAGGATGTAGGCGGGAGAGAGAGGAGGGAGAGAAGGGACTGAAACCTCCCTCGGCCCGTTGGGCCTCCTATAAATCCGCGGGGGTGGCATGGAGGGGCTCAGCCGCGTTCGGAAAAATGCTGGGGGACTGGGTCGAATTAAGGACCAGACTAGTTCTGGTACTCTCCAGAGGCCCCGTGGAAGGCGCCGAGCCCGTGGAAGCCCCGCCGGCGCCAGAGGGGGGCCCACAAGCCGCAGAGCCCCCCAAGACAGACGGCCCAGACGCCCCACAACAGGCTTCGTAACTGGAGCTGGGTCCTATGACATGGCCATCAGCTGCCTCCGCCCGATCAGTTGCGGCGCCTGAGGGCTTCGAAAATTAAACTCGTCGGCCCAGGGATCCCCTGCCGACAAACAGGATCAGGAATCGAGAATGTCGGCTCCATCAGGAAACTCCGCGGAGGCGCTTCCATCGGGCACCTGGCCGTCGCCCTGGGAAGCGCCCGCGCCGGCAGGCGAAGATTTCAACGCCTCAAGACGCTCACCGAAAAGCCGACTGTAATGATCATCTCTCTTTTCAGCAGCGGCCTCCCGCGCATGGTTCAACGTCGCCCGAGCCTGACTGGATTTGGAACCAGGTGTCGGTTCCGTGCATGGCCGCCCTCGTTGGGGCAGCTTCTGAGCCAGACTCGGCGAACGTGTAATGAGCTGGCTGCCAGACTGTCGTAACGAACCTCGCGACCAACGTGGGTCTTTCATGGCGC